CACACACACACACACACACACACACACACACACACACACACACACACTCTCTTAATGCAGAAGAAATGAATTTGCATCAACAGCTCATCTGAAACAACAGTAAGGTTAATCCTAAAATGATCTTTCAAACTGCTGAGATGTCCCTACGTTAGACAAATATTTACCACCTCAACCCCACACCCTGGCAGAAAAGTATAGGGTACACTCAACAATAGGTCTCTTATTCTACCTAAGTAGCAACCAAGATAAGATGGACTACTTAAAAAAAAAAAAAATTCCACCCAAAACACAACCTGTCTAGTAATGAAGGTGTTTTTAAACCCTTAGAAAAGACAGAACAGCATTTTCAGCGTGGTTTCATTTCACGTCAGATGCAATAATACTTATCAACGTCAAACTGCAAATTAACGCTGATGTCAGCAACATTTCTAAAAGCATTCCATCAGCCATGGATTTTTTTTAAGAGGAATCCTTTTGTGTCAACTAAACTCCTTGTAATAAAAGGCAGCACAAGTGGTAGCAGCAACTCCAAAATGATATCAGGGAAGGGATCATACAATAAATCATCAAACAACCAATTCAGAGATCCCTACCAAAAAAAAAAGGTCTTTAAACAAGAAGTTTTCTTGAAAAATTTAAAGATTGGTTTTATTTCTTTCCTTGTGCCCTAAAGAAAATTTTCTTATAATTTTTCTCTTTATATCTGACAACCACTTAAAAAAAAAGACCTGGAATCCACAGGGTTGCACATATCACAAAGTTAAGGGTGAAACAGGCTATCCATTTCTTCTTTGGTACTTCGGAGTAAGCATGGAGACAGCATAATTAGCAAATCAGGATTGCAACTGTGGCCAAGGCCCTTCAGGGCCCAGGGCACCTTTCAGAAGGACCAGTCAGCTGCTGTCTCAGTACAGGGATTTTCTCACTAAAATGTTCCCTACACCAAGGAAACCACAGGGCCAGACACCCCCCAAATAAGGGCCTGGCACTGGGAATCAAGCGCCAAAGTGAGGCACCCCCAGTGCTCAGAGAACTTAGACTCTTGAAAATAATGTCACCTCACTTCTCTTAGAAGGGGTTTAAAAAGTTCCTATTAAGGGTCACATTATCATTTTCACTAAAAGACTGACTGCTCCTTTTATTGTCAACAATAGAGCAATGAATTTCTATATTTTACTGCCATATAACATTTTTAGAAAAGCTTTATTAATTTTAACGGCTTCTTCAGACACATCACTCATAAAGGCAAAACGCTACCCACAAACAGAGAAATGGAGGTAGAAAGGAAAGGCCGCCACGCCCCATCAGAACCCAAGTCTCTGGTCAGAATCTGTGTCTACACAGGTTACAGAGAGAGCTCTCTGAAGAAAGGCCATCTAATCGATCACTACTGCCCTACTCTAATCATGAGAACTGTGGCCTGGCTACACAGTCACAAGAGGGAAATGAAGCCAGGCCAAGACTGGAGGCCAACACTCCTTAGCCCTGCTCCTTCTCTGCCCTGAGCCAACCGGCAAATGCCTCCCAGAGCTGGGCTTCATTTTTCTTTTAGTAAAACAAAGTGTCCCTAATAACTAACTACTACCAAGAGATGCTGTGAGGATAACTGAGGAGTTAACAGTACTTGATAACTAGAACAAAACTTAGTGGTTTCTCATTTATCCTTCAGTACCCCTTCATCCCCTATATCCTTCCTTCCATCTCAGGTCTATTCCTCTTGTTTGAAATGGCCCAGCTCAAGGGCTTTTACAGAGAATATTTTGAATTCCTGGCAGGCAACCCTTGGACATCAGTTTGAAAAGGCAGGGCTGGTATATCCCAAATTTTAGTGATTACAGAAGAGGCAAAGCTAAAGTAACAGTAAATGGCATTGATGATAAATGAAGCCAACCCATTTCACTGAATTTGGCTTTTTTTTTAACAGACTGTAGAAGGATGGTCAAGAAATAATCTAGTTTTCAGGCAGATATTGGAATGTATAGACTCCAACTCTCCCTAAAGACAGCTCTTGATATAAATGCTTTATTATTAAATAGGGAAATCCAGCTCTCTGAAAATAGCCATAAGAGAGGGATGTGCATCAATCTGGACCAATCTTTTCCACGTCTGATACCAAAGCAGATAATGGTAAAGTCTTACTAGGCTGACAGTTGAGAAATGTTATTTGTGACTGCCTTAACATCTCGATTTTTATTTATAAAATAGCCCCAGAGCACGGAACTGAAATGTAATGTATTTTTTAAAATTCCATTTTTCATCTATCTCTCCCAGCCACCAACTCTGATAAGGAACTGAACTTGCCCAAGTATCTGGTAATCAACAGTAACCTTGCTGTCAAAGACATCAAAATTCTATCAATGATTACAAGTTCCCTGGACCTGAGCCCACAAATTCTGACCCACAACAGAATGAGAGCACTAGTGCCTGGGAGCAGCCTACAGGGGTGTACTGCCATCACTAGAAGCCAGCAGAGGGACTTCTTTCTCAGGAGACTCTCCCTCTGGCAGGGCAAACCCTACCCCACTTAGCTGGATCTTTCTCCAAAGCACTTACCTCCCATGATGAATGGGCAAGTGTTTTCGGTGGATCCCATGGCTTCCCTCAACAAAAGCATTGGGAGGCTTATGATATACGGAGGCCAAAGAACCGATGTGGCAGATGAGCTCGTCCAAGAGGGTGGGCTCAATCAGGTCTGTCTCCTCAGAGATCAGGGGCTTTTCGGATAAGACTACTTCCTTGGCTGTCACAGGATCCGTGGAGAGAAGGCGCCAGTATATATAGCCCCGGTCTCGAAGGTCGGGGTTATCAGAATCCTACAGAAAAAGAAGGAGTTCTTTTGGATTGGATTTTATCTGCATAGAGAAACCCAAACTTCCTCATCTTGCAATGCTTGGATACATATACACATATATGAATGATGTACCATGTGGATGAAACATAGCTTTTTCAAGACGATCATCTTATGTTTTCTAACTTAGCAGGGAATAAGACTGAAAAATGTCATTCAAAAATTAAAGAAAAAATAAAGAAAAACTCTAAAAACTCAGTGTAAAACTATCAGAACTCTAGATAAGGCTTAGAACACCTAAAAATACAGTGCCAAAACAATTAAACAAGTTTTACAACAGCTCCTATATATCTTTTACTTAAATCTCTGTCTAAAGAATGTTTCCTTCTCAGTTTCTGCCAACCCAGGTGAATTGTGACCTGCAGTTTCTGGCACTGATTCTTTTAAAAGCACTTGGCGCAATGATAGAGTAAAATCATTTACTCTGGGATTGAGATTTATGCAAAGATCTCCCAAAATTTTCATCTTGTGAGAAGCAACATAGTTTAGTGTTAGAAGCACCTGAGGCATTAACTCACGTGACCGAGGGCACAGTCCTCCCTGTAGCTCATTTTGGAGGTCACTTATCCAAACTCAACTATTTGAACCATGAAGGAAGCACAAAAGTCCTCTGAGCATGGAAATGCAATGTCCCAGTCTAGCCACTGAAGTTTCAGTTCTTTAGTCATGGAAGAGTTCCTCTGGTCCTGACTTAGAGTCTATTTTTGAAGAAGATTTGAACATAGCTACTTGTGGATTGCTAGTCTGAAGAAGAATTTGAAGCAGCAAACCAGAAGGCTGGAGGTCAGGGAAAGAAATGGGGAGACGTGGACCATGACATATATCTGACACCTGAGATAAAGGGAGTTGAGAACATTACGAGGCGCTGAAACATGAACTAAGTCATAGGGAAGGGAGGGGGCATAGTATTTGAGGGCAAACATTCACACACGATGTCACAAAGTCTGGGCATATCACTATGTACATCCCAGTGCAGATGAGGTCTCAAAGCCTTACTTCCTCCACGTGTTCTCAAATCCCTGAGATCCTGTTTCCATCCCCACCATCTGAGTCTTGACTGCTCTCTCAAAGAATCATTGATATCTTTTTTAAAAAATATTTTTATTGGTATCTTTTGCTTTTATATCACCTATATTTCCTACCGTAACCTTTTTCTTCCTCCTCCCAAAGAGCTATTTCTTGTAACAAAGAACTTTTTTCAAAAAAGAAAAAGAGAAAGAGACAAAGAAATTTGGCAAAACTGACCAACACAGCAAAAAAAAACAAAAACAAAAAAAAAAAAACAAAAAGAACTGACCTCTTCTCTCTCTTTTGTGGCCAACTTTGTTCTTTCTAATTTCTCAGCATTTCATTTGGAACGTTTCATGGTTACTGTTCTTTCCACTTCCATGGTCACAGTCACCATCTATGTTGTTTTCCTGCTCATTTACTTCACTCTTCCTCAGTTGACTTAAGCCTTCCTATACTTTTCAGGACTCTGCACTATCATTTGTTTAGCCATCCCACAAGTGATGGTGTCTATTTGTTGCTACCACAGAAGATGTTGCTATAAAGATTTTGGTGATGTGAAGGCTTTCTTTTCATCAAAAACTTCTCTGAAGTATATGCGTAATAGTAAATGCTAAGAAAAAGCCAGAGTGCTAAAAACTTAATGGATTAGTGGTAACCTGGAAGAAAACAGTCTCAGTGGAGTGGTGGGACTGGAAGCCAGATGTCCAGGGATTGAGAAATGACTAGGAAGTTAGAAAATAGAGGCAACAAGGACAGGAATCCCTTCTAGGGCTTGGGCTCTAAAAGGCAGCCGATATAAGATGGCAGATGATGGAATAGGGAGGTCAAGTAAATGGGAAGAAAATGATGCCAGAAGACAAGGAGAACAATTAGGAAAACAGAGAGGAGTGGGGTGACAAAAGGTCATGGTAAGGATGAGGTCTAGGATAAAGGAAGCAGAAAGAAAAATGACTGGATATGAGATTATTATCATGGAGGTGAGAGTAATGGGAAGTAGCTCAACTAACTCAACACTGTGGGGGCAGCGAGGTGGCACAGTGGATAGAGCACTGGCCCTGGATTCAGAAGGGCCTGAGTTCAAATCCAGCCTCAGACACATAACACTTACTAGCTGTGTGACCCTGGGCAAGTCACTTAACCCCATTGCCTAGCCAAAAAAAAAAAAAAAAAAGTAACTCAACACTGAGACAGACAGGATGCGGGACCCAGGCAGGTCCAATCAGCACATCCTCCTCACACACCTGGGAGCTCAAGAGCCCCTGGAAGAACAGCCTCCTGCAAATACCAAAGCAGGGAAGCTGAATCCACCTCAACTGCAGAAGTTACTCCCTCAAAAAGGAGACAAAATGACCAGCAGATGATAACAATAAAGATCAGCTCTGACAGACTGAACCTCACAGAAGAAGAGGGTCTGGAAATGACGAGGAGCTAGTGCAGGCTGACGCTTCCTCACGGTGCAGCACGTCAAGGAGCATGAGAAAAGGAGCCCCCAGACTGGAGAGGGTGGCCAGGACGTCACAACTTCTGGAGATAGTCAGGCTTCCATGAACTACCAACCAGAGGCAGCTCAACGGGGCTGTGCACAGAGTGCTGTGCCGGCAGTAGGAAGAGTTGAGTTCAAATCCAGCCTCAGACACTTAACTAGCTGTGTTAGCTGCTAGCATTAGTATTACTACTACCATCATCTGCCTTCTTCATACAGATAACTCCCAAATTTTATCTCCCAAGCCCCAAACCCCCTTTCCTGATTACCTGTAAGAAATCTCTACCCAGATGTTCCAGTCCAAGTCAAAACTAACACAATGAGAACTGAGCTTATCAGCTTTTCCACTAAACCTACTCCCTCCAACACGGTACAGTGGAGTGAGCGCTGGATCTGGAATCAGGAGACCCCTAGTCCTGCTGGAGAAGAAGCATGTGCTCAGCTGCCCCCTTCAAGCCCAACCCAAAAGCAAGAAAGGGCTTCCAGATGCTGATTTCCTGTCACTGTGAACACTGACTCATAATGCCTTCATGTGAGCAGTCACTTCACTGCCTTCCTACTCATCCAAAGACCATCCTGAAATCAGGCTGAATGGAGATTTGGGATCAAAAATCAGATGCCTCTTATGATCATATGGTGCTACTGGGAATTCTGTGACCCAAGCTTTAAACAGACAGCAGACTAGTGAGCTCTGAGTCCAGTTGGCTTTCCTTAGGACTCAAAGTTCATGGTTTCAAAACCGGAGAAATTCCAAAGCTTACAGAAAAGGCAGACCCCACTGGACAGGACAGCTCTTTCTATTTCACTTCCATTAGACAGCCTCCATAATAAAAGCTAAAATAACAGCTGGAGCAGTGGGTAGACAGTCCTGGGCCTGGGATAAGGAAGACCTGCATGACCCTGGACACAGGGTCCATTGGCCTTAGTTTCCTCAACTATAAAATGAGGATAATATGTAAAGCATTAAGCACAGTGCCTGGCACATAGTAGGTGCTATATAATTATTTATTTCCTTCCTTTCCCTTCTCCTTCCACTCCAGTGGAAGCCGAGAGACAGGAGACTTCTAGTAAAGAAGGTGCTCGCTTTGTGTCTGGTCACAACTGTATGTTTTATTACCAAGTTCTCTAAAACAAGTAAATGACCATAAAAACAGGAAAAGATAAAATCTCGGGAACAGTCCCTAATTCAAGGTGGTTGTTTTTTTTTAAACCTCCAACTAAAATTTCTAATTCTAATGCCACATTAATTTATCAACGTCTTTGATTATCGATGAACACAAAGGGCTTTGCACATATTTCATTTAATTCTTACCAATCCAGAGAAAACAGCAGGTCTGGTTTCCTGTGCTCACAGTGGTGTGCTAAACGTTCTGATGGAGAGGGCAAGAGAACCCTGTGAGCCTTCCCTTTAATTCGTCCCTCTCCCTCAGCCTCGTCTGCTTTGTGCAGCTCAGAATCATGAGCTTTGAGCCTTGAGGATGCCAAAAAGATGCCAAAGAGCTCATCAAAGGGGAGGGTGATCTCTATATATACTTCGCCACATTATGTCTCCCTCTCGTTAATTAAAAAGACAGAAAAGATCAAGGTGATTAAAATAAACTGCAGAACAACATCACTTGGTACCAAATGTGACACAATCACCCGACAGCAGGTCTCAGAGCTCCAGTCACTGTTTCAGCAAAGGTTGAGTCCCTTAAAGTATTTGCCAATCTTATGGTTCTACAATTCTGGAAACTCAGAATCAAGAAGGGGAAGATATTTGATTGAGCAAAGCCAACATTCAATGACAGTTACCGCCTTATTCCCAAGAACGTGGCTCCTCACAGAGGCAACCCACTGTAGCGCATAACCTTGGAGCCACTGGCCCATACCGGCCGTGTGACCCATGGTGCTCTAGGAAACTCTCTAAGACTCAAAAGTTGCAGAGAAAATTTTCCTCACCTGAGAGTTCCTTATACCAATGAAATCATAAGTCTTTATCCTTATCTGTTCTACAAAGAAAGGAAGATATTCAAGAGGGTGCAAAAAAAGGAATTCACATATGTTATCAGGAACCCTCTAGACTGAAGACATGAAACAGGTAGACAATGAAGACAATGTGCTACTCCACAGCGCAGCACAAAGTCTAGAAACAACACCATGAACAAAGACAAAACCAGAAAGGGTAAAGTGAGCATCTCAACTCAAATTCTGAACCTGTAAACATCTTTCTGAAAGGTGGCAAAACCTACAAATCTCAAAGTGATTCTCTTTAGTCATTTCAGGAAATAAAAAGATCCCAGACAATCAATCTCCTCCAAGAGCAATTGTTCAAAGCTACAACAGTAGAAAAGAGAATTCCTTTCATTCCTCTGATCTAAATCGTGACCTCGTTTTTCTAATTATCCAAGCAATGAAAAATTCGCTGCCACCAGTGATGGCCTCATTTTCTGATACTCATTTAAAAAAAATTTTTTTATTAATTTATTTTGATTTATCAACAATCACTTTCATAAGCTTTTGAGTTTTAAATTTTTCTCCTCCTCCCTCCCTATCTCCCTCCCCAAGACGGTGTACAATCTGATATAGGCTATACATATACATTCCTATTAAACATGTTTTCACATTAGTGATGTTGTAAAGAATTAGAACCAATAGGAGCAACCACAAGAAAGATAAAACAAAACAGAAGAAAAAAAAAGCAAATAGTATGCTTTGATCTGCATTCAGACTCCATAGTTCTTTCTCTGGGTATGGATAGCATTTTCCATCATGAGACCTTTGGAGATGTCTTAGATCCTTGCACTGCTGAGAAGAGCTAAGTCTATCAAAGTTAGCCACTGCACAACGTAGCTGTTACTGGGTACAATGTTCTCCTGGTTCTGCTCACTTCACTCAGCATCTGACACCCATTTCTGGGAGAGGGTGGAATATCAACTAATACCACAAAGTACCATAAACACTGAGTGAGGGGAACGTTTAGGAGTCAGAACAATGAATGAGAGGACACTCTTGCCAAGGTCCCATTTCTGGATCTGTCACCTGCTTTCAAAGAGACCTTGGCTGAGTCACCTACCATGTCTATGTGATAATTTCAACTACAAAACAGGAACTGCGGTAACTCAGAAAGAGGCATTGTCAGATTCAGTCACCAAAACGTTCTTGTAATAAAAGAAAAAAATTAAAGGCTATTTCATGAACATTTATAAATGTTTAATTGCCCATAAAGTCAACTCACAGACAGATAACAGTAAATTACCCAAATTCAACAAATGTGGAAAACTTCCTTTATTTCATTATCAAGATACCTCTATGACATGTAAAGGCAGCGTGCTCTTCAGGCTGAGGCCTCTCACACTGACCATTCCTTGGAGGCCATTCCATTATAGACAAGGAAACAGAAATAGCAAGTCAGCCCCTGTATTCATTCAGCATTCTTACCTGAGTTGCCAAGCTCAAGACCTGCTGGACCAGTTCCTGAGTTTCTGAGGGTTTCTTGAGAAACAGCTTCACTATTGCTGTGAGCAGGGTTAGCTGCACCTACAGGCACAGAAGTCAAGAAGGATAAGGTAAATCGGGCCTTTGCACCAGCCCACAGCATTCGCATCAGAAAGGTGATCTTCCACATGAAGTTCCCTGGAGTGATCTTCTCCCCTATGAAGACAATGGGGAAGCTGGCGCCCTATGGAATTTGGCTGATCTTGACTAACGGGTAAGAGCTAAAATTCACCATTATGAGAAGTGGCGTTTAAAGCACCCACCGACCTTTTGGGGTGCCAAAAATAGTCGAATCGGAGAAACGCATTATGAAGTGGTCCTTGACCAATTTCTAAAGGATTCACTTCCAACCACAAGCTACTTAGCAGTTAGAGCTTTAGGAGACTATGAAAACAAGTCACTTTGGGACAAAGGCCAAGAGACTGGAGACTTGTCAGAACTGAAGGCAGTTAAGGATGGCCTTCTGGTAAGTTCCCGTAATAAACAGCTTAACTAAGAAGTTGCTTGCCTAAAACGTGAATTATCTGAACATGGTTTATTAAGATTACTACAAATAGGTAAACCTTCATCAATTCCCCTACATAGCAGTTTGTTCAAAGGTCAGTAACAGAATTTTAATTATGTCTCTGAACTCTAAGTGATGGTGTAATGGTTTGCCAGGAATTAATGAATACAATTCAAAAGTATACTGAAGTTTGGGAGAGAAACAATCATCTTGCGCAGTAATTACACCCATTTCAAATATGTTATGTACTGAGGAACCCCAGTGAAAACTCTGAGCCAAATCTCATCATAAGAAGGACTCAGGGTACAGGAAAGAGAAAGCTTACCTGGGTACTCTCATCATGGAAGCCCTCCAGGAAACTCTCCAGGAGCTCGTCTGCATTATCGATTCTCTCAGCATATTCTCCTACAATCCAGATCATGGCAGCTCGCGCATCTGGCTCATCAAGGGAATCAAGGTTCTCACACAGAGTAGCAATGATACTTTCATACCTAACACAACAAAAACAGGTCTGATTACTAAATGCAAACTCCAAACTTGTATTCAACAGTAAAACCAGGTGAGATACTAGCACAAATGCACCCTAAACCAAATTGCTAAAGCTAAATCATATGTATAAAAAACATAATCCACAAGATTACTTTTTTAAAACATCTCCTCAAATTGTCCTCTGCAGTATCTTACTAGGCAAAACACACACACACACACACACACACACACACACACACACACACACACACACACACACACACACACGTATACTTTCAGCAAGACCTAAAAAACCCTGAGGTATAAGGAAATATGACCTTTTATTTCGGTAGGATTTTTCTTTCTTAGATCAAAAGGAGCTTCTATTTTCTCAATCTATTTTCACATCACAATTATGAACTAGGGACGCTATCTTAGCGGATGCAGAGAGAGGTTCAGCAGCTTCCTTAGAACTCAAAGGTCTAAACCTGCCAAGATCAGATGAGGAGCCAGAACCAAAGAGATTCTGTGGCCTCCTTTCACCCTAAGGACCTCTCTTTCCTGAGAAATCCAGATCTTTTCCCCTTCACTGCTATAAAAGAACAAACAAACCTAAGAGTGGCTTTCAGAGGTCCTCATGTCTACTCATTTCTGTCACAGGGACCCTTCTCTTTGATCAAGATACCTCTGACCAGAGAATGGATCCTGGTGTGATAAAAGTGCCCCCCCTCCCCCCACATTTCCCAATGACAACAGCCTTGCTCCAAAGTCAAGAATGGCAGAATTTCTCTATCAATAACAGCAATGAGAAAAAGTCAAGCCCCTATCACCTGACAAGATAAACACCTACATTCTTCCCATAGTCTCTTTCTGCAAAACTCTTTCAGGTTCTGCTAACCAGCCAGCTGCCTCACTACAAAATGCATCTCAACTAGTTCCTGAACTCACACACCTGCTTACACCCCTTCAATACATGGCTCCACGCATCCCATCAATTCTGATCAGAAGCTGCATCATTAGGAAATAAAATTGATTTTTGGAATACAAAAACAACTGATTTTAGACTGAGGCTTTCAGTTCCGTGATTGCTTCCGAGAAACAACTTTTGCTTAGCAGAAGCACTTCAACTTGTAAGGGATGTGGAATGGAAGGTGGATTTCTGCACCTTCTGGCTGGCAAACGCAGCACTGCTCCACAACAGGCCTGTCAGAGACAGTCAGATACATGATTATTATATGTTTACTAACTGTCCACCAAGGGCTCCATATCAGAAAATATGCCATACAGTCATCCCCCTGGCTTGAACATGGCTTCAAATTCAGAAGAATCAGAGGTTATTGTAAATACTTATGCTGAACAGGCAATCCATGTGGATGTGACTATCACACCAACTTTTCAAAGAATAAAGTAAGGCAGACAGACAGAGCAGTGACAGTTTCTAACAGAGCTGCCTTACAGGCCACTGTTTTCCCCCAAGGGCCTAAGGAGCAGATTTTAAGCAGTCCTCCTCCTCCCTCCCTCCTCCCAAGGGCCTGAGGAGCAGATTTTAAGCAGTCCTCCTCCCTCCCTCCTCCTCCCAGGGCCTGAAGAGCAGATTTTAAGCAGTCCTCCTCCTCCTTCCCTCCTCCCAAGGCCTGAGGAGCAGATTTTAAGCAGTCCTCCTCCCTCCTCCTCCCAAGGGCCTGAGGAGCAGATTTTAAGCAGTCCTCCTCCTCCCTCCCTCCTCCCAGGGCCTGAGGAGCAGATTTTAAGCAGTCCTCCTCCCTCCCTCCTCCCTCCCCCACCTCCCCTCACATACTTGTTGGGATATTTGCGGAAGATGTCCCTGATGACAACAATCGCCTCCTGAACCACATAGTTGACTTTGGTCTGGATAAGGTCCAGCAAGGTGCTCACACAGCGCTCGGCAGATTGCTGGAAACAAGACCGAAAACGTGACAAGTCATAGAGACAGTCAGAAATCTGGTGTTCTACCCAGGAGGCATAAAGTATTGTCACCACTTGGTGAGCAATTTTCCAATGCACTAACCAGTAAAAAATTAAGACATAATTTGGCCAAGGTCTACCAGAGTTTAGGCTGCTAAGAAATCAAGTACTGGATGCACACTCAGCTTTTCAAGTAGCCCTACAAGAAACATTTATCTCCCCTCCCCCCCATTACACAATTTACCCTAGAACGACACGCAAAGCAGAGATGGGACTGAGGGAAATCCGAGGACGTTACTAAAGAAAGACATTTGTAAGCTCTGGTGTCATCTCAACTGCAATTCTTGACAGGCTGGGAACCTTGGGAAAGCACAGGCTCCTAAACCCTACATGTGATCAATACAGTGGGGGTATGCTCTCAGTCATTAGAGCACTACACCTATTAATTTTATACTTTGCTGTCTGTCGACTGATACGTAGCTGTGGTCTTCCCCATTAGAGGAAGGATACAAAGGAGGGATGGCTTCCTTCTTTGTACTTTTATCTTTAGCGCCTAGTACATAGTAGGCTCTTAATAGGTATCTGCTGATTGATTGACACAGGAATAAAAATCATTAGAGCAATACTTGGGTTGTAGGCAAACGTGCAGTAAGAATAAGCATTGTGAAAATTAAAGTGATAGAAGGACTCTGGTCAGGTGTGGCAAAGTATAGAGAAAAAAGAGGATTGACTCGGGAGTCAGAGGACCTGGGATGAGCCCTGGTTCTGGCATTGGTCATCTGTGTCACCACTTTCCCTCCTTGTCTGTAAAATGAGGGAGCTGGCTCTGATGACCTCTGAGATTCCATCTGTCTCTACGACCAAGGGCTGAAATGAAAACCCACAGCCGGCCTGGAGTCTGTAGAAGGGGCACAAAGCGTGGAGTGGAGGCTGCACATGCCTTGACGTGATGCTCTCACTTCTACCACTAAGTCTCTTTTTAGCTGAGACTGAAACTAGAAAGACCTTCAGGGTCACTTCCTCTGGATCTCATAACCTGTCAGAAACTTACCTATGGCAGGCCCTTTCTATTGCTTTTCCCCAAAGAATAATGAAGTTGTGATCTAATTCTCCAGTAACTCCTGTTTCATCGGCATCAAGCAAACACAAGGTCACTCAAGGTACACAGCACTGTGCTGATGCTACACGTTTAGGTAAATTTGCCTGTCACATCACTAGATTCAATTTTTATCCCATGAAACGTGAACATATCTAATGGAAATCACAACTTTTTTTCCAAAACAATTCAAGCAAAACAGACACATCTTTGTGGTTTATTTTCATCTTATTAAAAGTTAATATCCAGCATTTCCACCTTGCTGGTTAATAGACTCTTGTCTCACAAATAAGCTGAAACTCAAACCAGTGACCCACTCTTTATAATAGTCACACAGAGCACTAGGAGAATACTGTCAGAGAGAAGGTCAACTGTGAGGCCCTCTAGTCCAAATGGGGACAATCACTGCAACTTCAACAGTTCCCATAAAAACTGCTCGACAGAGCTTTCTGGCCCTTGCCTCAGGCTATGGGAAAATCAGGGAGTTAGATCCTCCCCCTGAAAAAAGGGTTTCCTCTAAGCAACTGAACACTAGGTAGAATCATTCTCATAGTCGTGTTCACCAGTCAATCTTGGCTGAGAGAGAATTAAATGACAAACAATATTCAAGCACTGACATCTAGTTTCCTTGGAAAATCCATTCCTGCCAGGTACCATGAAAGCTGAAGTCCAATGTCTAAGCAACCAACCAAAACTAACTCTAGCTTTTTGAAGAAGACCAAGAAAGCTTTTTTATTGGTCACAACATAATATGCAACAGCAATGGCCATTAGAAATTTGGATGGTCTAATAATGCTAGGCCTAGAGAATATTAATTTCGGAGTGAGGTGGTCAATTTTGTATTATTTTTACAGAGAAGCTAACACACGGATCCTTACAAAGTACTGACTCTGATATACACTGCTATGAACACAAACATCCACTACCACAGTACTTAATGGAATATCATTCACACATGGAGAGAATCTTACCAGGACCAACTGCCTAATGGTAGCAGAGTATGGTGAGGATACCCTAATATCCTTTAACTGACAAATTCTGTATCTACACTAACAAAACCCCTCCTAAAAAATCTTTATCTGAATAGCAGAAATGTGCGGTTTAACTCCTAGTCTAGAAAGTACAAAGTTTTAAGTTCTCACAAAGAAAATACCATAAGGTACAACAGAAGAATAATCATTATTATAATAATAATACAGTAGCTAATACTAAAATACTGTTTGAAGGTTTGCAAAGTGTTTTGTATTATATCATTTCATCCTGGCAGGTAGTAATATTATTATCCCCATTTTAGAAATGAAGAAACAGAGGCAGACAGTAGTTAAGTAACTTGCCTAGAGTCACAGAACAAGTAAATGACTGGTGCCATATCTGAACTCAAGGGTTCCCGACTATGGGTCCAGTACTCTCCATACTGTGACATCAGATGGGAAAATGGATATATGAGTGAGACTAACAGAGCCAGGAACAGAGCTCAGAATTGCCTAACTCTAGCACCCTGATAAAACTGCCAAATCATATTTTCTCTAAATAATACGTGAGGAGGATTTGTACATAAACATCTCTACCTTGAGCAGATAGACACAAAGAAAGCCCTTCTCTGATAGGATGTGTTTCCTCCTAACCCCATGAGGTACCATTGGCTTCTCCCTAAAGCTACAGCTGAGCACCTTATAGCCAAAAGAGCATCTGAGAGGCCATCCTGGCCAACACTCCATCCGATGCTCTGAGATGCACTACACCAAGCCAAACGGAAGAATCGATGAGGAGAACATGCGGGACTCATGACCTAGGCCCATGCCCAACAGCAGATACTTGCCTCGACTTTGATGGCACATCGGCCAATGGCTCGCACAGCCTTACGGACAAAATCAACATCCACCTCAGTGGCATATTCCTTTAGTTCTGCCAGGACCTATTAAAAGTCACAGGAGTAAAAAAAAAAAAATCACAGGAGTTTGAAAGTTATTAAGAACTCTCTGAAAGTAATTTCTTAGGATATGTTTCTTCAACTCTAAAATTGAGTCTAATCCTAGAAAGATAACCTAGCTTAAAAACAAGTCCTCTAGTGGTCTGACCTGGGCAATGTTGGCTTGGGATGCCAAGCGGATCATGATGTCCAGCTTTTCCAGTTTGACATAGATAGGGTCGTTGTACTTCACAAAGAAGACTTTGATCTCCTGCTTTAAGATTTCAGGCCTGGGAAACAAAGGGAGAAACAGATAAGGCAAACAGAATTCCTGAGCATTTTTTTCTTTCAATATTTTCAACTGTGGCTGTAGGATATTTTCCCCCTACAAACATGGCTTTATTTGGCTCTCATCCACCTGACATGGCTAATTCTGCTCAGTGGCCCAGTGGTATCTTCTTTCTGGGTAGACAATAGCAACCACTCCCCTCCCCCACCTCTGAGCCAGACTGCAACACGGCCCATAGTAAGCGAGCAGGCCCTGGCTAAGAAGGTAAAACAGGCCCATTTCCAAAGACGCAATGCTCTACAGCATGAGCAATGTGATCTCTTCATAACTGAAGGAACATCTCAATATCAAACGTCTATCCCCTGATCTCTGAGCAAGATCGTCAAGTAAAGGTCATCTTCACACATCTATTTAAGAGAAGCAACAACAAGGGCCTCTTACAGATGACCAACACTTGAATTAAGTCACGATGGCAACGTACAGGAAGTCTCCCACCTTTTCTGCACAATGAGGTTGATGTTCCTCAGGGCGACGTACTGCACCTCGGGTTCCCCAGAGAGCAGAGTCACCAGGGGAGGAGCCAGCTTCCTCAGCAGCATGTTGTAGTAGTCAGAGTCCTTGGGCAGCAGCTCCAAGAACTTCATCAGGACTTTGACGGCCGACAGGACCACTGCCGAGTTGGCGTGGGAGAGCCTGGGAGTCACCCGCTCACAGATACTGAGAGAAAAAAAGAAAAAGAAAAGTCAGGTCTTCACCTTTCATTTCTTTTCCCAAACCCTTCTCCAGGGCTGTGAGTCAGAGTCCCATAACCCAGGCATCAGTAATTAGAGATCAGAGAAATCAAAGCTTCATGCTTAGGTAAGACCAGGACCACCCAGGGCGGAAGCCTCATTCTCAGCAAGCTCTAGGAAGACAGGGGGTCCAGAAGGTTAAGTGAGGCAAAACAACAGGAAACCGGCCCAATCCAACACACTGGACGCTCACATCATGTACCGCGCACATTTCCTTGGTCTTTTTGCCTGCCCATTTTAAAGAAGAGGGCCCTGCCTCATGACCCATCTCTCTCAGGCCTAAGGGAAGTCAAACTGATAGGCAAACAAGGCAGGTTAGGATCTGCTTTCATAGCGAAGGAAATAAACCAGTCTGTGAATGAAGGTCTCATCATGGAACCAAGGAAAAGTTGGGTTAAAACCAAGAACATGCTCATCAGCTACCTCTCTAGTACTGGCAAAAAAACTTCCAAAGTACTGGGGAAGTGAGGTTCTTTTAGAGGAAAAAACCCATAAATACATTTATATACATACACACACACACACACACACACACACACACACACACACACACACACA